TTTGAATCTCGGACCACAGGATCCAAAGAACACGCCGGTGACAGCGACTAAACCACTGCGGCCCAACACCTTTGTTATGGTTGTTGGCTCAAAATAGTTATGCAGTAGGGAAAACTGAAAGACCTTTTCGGAAAAGTTTACAAAACTGTATGAAAATTTATATTTACTACAGTAATAGGGCGAGGTTAAACCTGAGTGCATTATCTGCTCGTTTGTGTTCGAACATTAAATCGCAGCATGCTGGCGATGGGGTATCACGTGATACACCCCAACCTTCGTCTTGTACAAGACGAGAAACACTGCAAAGAGCAAACGCCAACAAACGTATATAAAAAGTAGGTAGTTTCAACAATCAAAAGACAGAGATCGAATCGACGTACCCAGAAATAGACTTGGTTTTGTGGTACTCAGGCTAGCGCCTTCTAGATCTCGTGGATTAACTTCAGTATGCTCTTTGAAGAAATCAGTTTCTTTTCCGGTGGGTGACTCTGGTTTTTCCTCAGAAGTGTCTATCAATAGCTGAAAAGTTTAAAAAGTTGGACCGACCAAACCTACTTTAGTGCCGTGAATTTTCATGGCGTTTAAGGCTAGTTTTTCAAGTTTTGTGCGATACAGTTCTGCAGCTCTACTTTGATATTTTTGTTTGGCATCGTGTGTGTTACAGTTATGTTGCATGAAGAAGGAACGCTAGAGGAATTTCGAAAGAAAAGACACGCACTTACCGCATTTTCGTTACCCCCAACTTGCATTGCTCGTAGCTGTACCCATGTCCAGTTAGTATCCAGTTGGGTCGAACGGATGAAACTGAGATGAACACCTAAAGCGCGGTGAGCAGCAGAACAATCGATACACAAGAACACGCCATAAGTGACACTGGCCCATGTAGGATTCGTGCCGCCGCAATCAAAACATTGCTATGTGGGTTTGGTTTGTAAATTCTCTGAGCAGTACCTTATTATATGGCAGTGACTTTAGCTTCGTGAGGATCGCTGTTATTTCATTTTTTGATGGCTGATTAACGGAAGTCATTACAAAAAAGGAAATATCACAGCAAGTTAACGTATGACGTCCCTAACGGATTAACGTGTAAGGCGCATTACACAGAAAACAGTCAGTCCAGTAACGAAGGAATGTTTGGGTACGTCATTTTGAGGAAAATTGTAATCCTGTCTGAGTGAAAAAATCTCAAAATCAGTGTCACAAGCTAATATAAGGGTGCTAAATTGAAATTATCACTAAAATTTCATTAAATTAGGCCATTCAATCACAAAATATTTCAACTGTGATCAGAACGTGATAATTGCCGCAAGTTGGGTTGCGTTCACATTTCACATTCTCATCTCATAGTTTCTTACGCTCATCTGTTCAGTTTTGTTTAGTTTGGTTTACATAAGAATAGAGAACGACCACGGCCACTTGAGCGTCGATTTAACCTGCTCCAGGGTTGACCCCAAATCCTCTTTACCCGCAAGTCAAAATCGACCGTCTGCGAAAAGACCACCGTTCNCGTTCAGTTCAGTTCAAATTCAAATCACAGGACATAGAGAGACCTTCGCCTGTTGAGTGTCCTGGTAATGGCGGATCCCGTCTGTGAACCGACTCGCCTGCGAGTGTAAAGCTTCTTCCGATTCTCCACGAGGGAGTAATATCTGGAAGGTGGAAGGGAAAGTGAGACGGCCCAGTATCAGTTCACTTCAGTTCAGTTTGCACAGGACAGTAGTGGCCGAGACCAATCGTGCGTCCAGATA